GCTCGACTCTCACATGGAAACATGGCACAAAGTGCGCGAATGATAACCCTTGTTCAGGTTTCGACGCTAGGTATTGCTGAGAGAACACTAGCGAGAGCACTTGGAAGTCTCCCTAATTGTAGCCTTGAAAGTGCACTGCAAGATCTTCTTGCGGTGGGTTTGAAATTTTCATCTCTCTATGAATCTTTGATGAGTAGTATTACACTACTACGGTTCCAAAATGCAGGCAAAAAGTAGACAAAGCGGTTAAGCTGAAGTAAGATCTGTTTCCACGAATTAGTCAGTACAGAGAATGAGTTGAGATTACGATCTGAATTTTCTAATCGTGAATCAATTTGCGTCTTGTATTTTCCATGACACCGTTCCCGATCGAGTTTTGAGTAATTTTGAACAAAGATCCCCCGTGAACGACCTTGCTTATAGATATGTGTTAATTTAATCTGTCAAAAATCTCGATTTTATATTGGCTTATGTGCACTGTTCAAGGCGCACTATCGATGAAATTTCCATGACTAATCTACTGGGTTTTTACATAGATTGTACATAGATTTGGTTTTAGCGTAGTGCTGTCTAGGATTCCTTTCTTTTTTGTATCATCCTCCAGAAACCTGATACCGTAACCCTCCCTTGACCTGTTTGGGTTTACCTTGATGGCAATAGGTACTCTGAGGATTAACAGGTAAAAAGATTAGATAGCAGTGACTAAAGCAGATGAGATGTGTACAGAAGTACGGGTACAAATGCAGATCTAAAATCTGCGTGACAAATCTGCGAGATGTTGCTGGGAATAAAACCAGTAATTCGTCGATGTAGTATGGAATTCAGTCGAATAATTTGCACATCGATAGCCAGTGCATGTATGCATGTATTGTATATGTCTAGCTTTCCTATATGCCTAGCATGTCCGCTAACATGAAGTACTGCAACATCATTACAATCACGTTGCACAATATCCCCAAGAGCTCGAATAGAGGCCCGATTTTGCTCTCGAACTCCTCATTCACCTCCTTTTCTTCCCAGTCGTTGTTGACGCTTCCTTTCTAGGACTTTAAACTGAGACTGCAAACCCTTTAGATCCTCTTCTGTTTAGTGACACGATGGAGGAGTCAAGTGAGTTAAGATCTGGAAAACAGGATGGCCATTCCTCTTTGCTAATGAAGTTTCTCTGTAGGCTGGAGTACGGTCTTGTTAAAAGGACCGTACTCTCCAGCCTACAGAGAAAAGTACGGTCCGGCACCAACGAAACCACGAGCGTCTTACCCTTGCCGTTGATTCCCTCAAAAAAGTCACCATTCACACGGTCAGGGGTTCTCGTGTCCCCCTTCACCGTGGTATGCGAGGCGAACTCGACGCAGCCATAAAGACTTCATTATGTGGTCCCTACACCCGACCACTGCAAGAATAGCAATAAAAACTATTAAGAGATCGCCGGCCTTATATAGGCGCTAAAAGGGGCGGGGCCGCTGGGCTGCTGTGATTCATTGGGGATCTGCCTTGTGACGTCATCGATGGTTGGCGCCTTCATTTATCTTTTGGCAGCGGCGTCCTCCTCTAATGGTTGTAATGTACGAGGATAACTATAACACAACACAATTTAATACAAAGCAACACATTTAAACAATTACAATAACAACACTCATTTACATTGTATACAACAGTCATATACATTACATGCCCGTCGGGGTCGAGGAGTCGGCCCGACTCTTAAGCTTAGCGATTGTTTCGCCGCGTGTGCCTTGTACCTCCCTTCCCCACCTTGTACCTGCTTCCGGATGCCCCTCGAGCGGCTGAATTCGTCTCGACGTCGCCTCCTCTTGGCTGCTTGCTCCTTCCGGCGCCTCTCCTTGAGCTGGTCCGATGTTCTTTGAACTCTTCCACTCTGATGATGTCGCTCATGGTCACACGCATCTTTTCCACAAGGCAATCTGACGGCCAATGAATGGAGTCCTCTTGAAGGACGGGTCCGTTTCCGGCAAATCGCAGGGTGGGTGTACGGAGCGGTGTCCAGGATATCCGAGTAGTGGTCTCTCACCACGGCTTCGAATCCTCGACCCGGTGTGGTCATGAACCGAACGAATTAAGCGCATTCTTCCCATCGCAGTCCATTCTTGCTGGTTGTGATCCTCGTACGGACTTGGGAAGAACAGAATTGTCCCACCCTTCTGTAAATGCCTTCCCAGGGCAGTTAATAGTTGCGTCATAACTCCTCCAGACGGCATCATGTCAGGCCATGCTACGATTATGGCAGTAAATATATTGACCTCCAGTAATTGCCGAGCTAGGAACTCCGTTTTCATAAACGTATACGAATAATGCGTCTTCGCAGGAAAGTTTTCGAAAACGTATGCGGTTAATGCGTGTTCGCAGGCCGTTCGAACCCCGGTTCGGCCCCCAAGTCACACGGTCAGGGGTGCTCGTGTCCCCCTTCACCGCAGTATGCGAGGCGTTCTCGACGCGGCCGATAAGACTTTATTATGTGTTCACTACACCCAACCACTGCAAGAACAAAAATAAAACCCAATACTAGATTGCCTGCATTATATAGGCGCTAAAAGGGTCGGGCCGCTGGGCTGCTGTGATTGGTTCATTGGGGATCTGCCTTAAGACGTCGTCGTTGTTGACGCCTTCATTTATCGATTGGCAGCGGCGCCCTCTGCTCCTGGATGACGAAATCCGTGAAGAAGAATAACTAGAACCACACAATTTAAATAAAGCAACACATTTAAACAAATACAGTAACGACGGTCATTAACATTGCATACAACAGTCATATACATTACATACACATCTTGTTGTTCCCATAGCAACTTTTTTGTGAGAGTTTGCATGTTCTATGTTTATAGCCAGAACGTGATCGTTTTATTCGTTGAGGAATGCCTTTTTCGTCAAATTTTTTGCTAGAGAAAATGACGAAGGGTCGCGTGTCTCCACTCGAGTGAATTAGTAACTTTCTGCATTTTTTGGCACTACACTGTTTGTCGAGATCAGAAATAAAGCGGCATTTCTGCATACGACAGGTTCGGCAATGTTGCTTTTGCTTGACAATCCTACCCAACGACAAGCTCGATAAGTGTTGCTCTTTGTCGTCTTTTTGATGGGTCACTCAAGATCACAATCGAGGCGGAAACGAACCATTATGATAGTTCTACTTACCTTTGGAAACACTGACTTTTTTATCCATTCCTGGCTTGTCTTTGATTAATCTTCTTTCCTATGTCGTTTGATAATCTTCTGTAAGATATTATAGGAATCCTAAATAATTCCAAAATGCCCTCCCGCCTCTCGCACTCCAATGATTGCAAATGGCACTGAATGAGCCTCGGCCATCTAAAATATATAAAGAGTTCCGCTTCAGCAACCACGCAGATTGCAAGAAAACTTTCTCGTGCGACTAGTCGACAATGGGTGAAGTGAATTTGACAAATTACTTCTGCCATAGAACTTTTTGAATTTTGGCGCCCATAATTTTGGGACACCTTTTACATGGTCTTAAATGCTTGACATGGTTTGGTTCCTATCTGAACCAGCTCATTTTCGATTTTATTTTGTCTTCACAGGCGACACCATCAGAAAGCCTCCTCCAAAAGTCTGGATCGAGGATTTCCAAAATGAAGTGATTAGTGTAGAAATATAGCTACAGATTGTAGCATTGCAGAAAAAACAAGTAGAAAGGACGCAAAAACTTCGTAAAATTTTATGATTACGATAAAGCTAGTGTTATGGGAAAGCTAGCTCTTCTTACATTTCCTTCCTACCAGTCCTTCTTAAGCTAGATCCGTCCCGTCTCTAAGCACATGTAAGATCGGCCACCCTTCTGCTCTTCACTGCTAACGCCGGGCCTCTTTTCTTACCTTTACAAAGTAGTTAGAAGATGCATTTAGGGGGTATCGATTTTATTCAACACGAAGGGCTTGAGCATGGTTGGAAGAATTACCAGGGTCATATAGTTGTTCCGTGAGGGCTTCCATTCCTATTAGTATTCGACATCTTCTAGGAAGAGACACAGACAGATCGAAACCCCTTTGGGCACTTCTCTTCGACTGCAAAGCTTTTTCTGAGTATGCTGACTTCCATTTTCGCGCAACAATGTAGCGGAAGACAATAAGTTTCGTGCATATATTCATTATTTGTTTCGCTCTCATAATCGTAGAGCGCGTTTCATAGATATAAGATCACCCTCGAATTGGTATTAACAGGATAAGCAGCTAAGCAATTTCGATCTAACACCTGCATTGGATTCATCACCTTCATTAACCTCCCTGTACAGTAGCGCTCAAAGTCTTCTGCCGAGTGCTTCTTCAGCAGCACTTTTAGTCGTAACTCCTTCCTACTGGATCTAATCGACCAAACTTTCGATATGTGTAGCATGGTGCATTGTGAATATTTACCACTATTAACCTGCTATCAGATCATCTTCCAGATATACTTAAGAACTTCAACTGAAACCCAACTGAAAATGCGGATGATGATCCTTCTGGAAATTCTTTCCTTTTTGCGATGCTTGAGTGTACGGGCGCAAAAGTCGAACATAATAGATGAGAAAAACGCGCGGTTGGGAAGGTAAGATGCGAATAACTACAAACGTCACTAAGTCTGCTTCAGCGAATTCTGCTACCGCAACAAGCACCTTTCATTATTACGTGGATATTGCTGCTTTTCAGTCAAATAGTATTATAAAGTGTGAAACTTCTCTAGTTAAACGTGTCCAAATTTCGCTCCACTAAGAAAAAAGGTTATGAACAAAAAAGCGTAATAGCGTTCGGCCGAAGACTTTTGCGACATCCTGCGACAAGACGACAGATCACCCCCAACAGTACGAAGGGTGTCGAAATAAAGTGAAGAACAATTTGCATCTCCATAGAAGAACATGTGTCGCAAATATGTCTAAAAGCAATATACACTTTGCCTCGAAGACGTCATGATTCTTTAGAAGAAAAAGCACATAATCGAAATCTTCGTGATACAGGGTTCAGTATGAGGGCAATTAGGAATCAAATCGTGAGATCCCTCAGCTCCATTTGAAGATATTTGAAGACAACAGAGCCCCACGTGGATGGGACGCCCGCGCAAGCTACCGCGAGCGACGAGAGGAGAATGCTAAGGACTATTTCGAACAGAACCTTGACGGTGAACCAAGTTCGATCGGATTTGGACCACTATATCCTAAACTACTGGATGGAGAGCCGTGAAAAAGATAGCAGCATTGTCAGGGCAGCTATGAAGAGGGCTCCGAGGCT